CCCGACTTCCCCGACTCCTCTTCGTAACGCCGCAGGGCCTTGCATGCGACTTGCTGGACGACAATTTGTAGCACCAGAAATGTATGGAGAAAGTCCTTCTTGAGATCCCATTTGGCGACGATATCGCAGCAGAATCTCTCCCATAGCCCGCGGCCCTTCTCATCCTTCGACTCCAAAACCTCGGGTGTCAGGAGTGCTGCGACAGCGTCACTGTTGATGCCGGGATTTGCAGGTTGTGCTTGCGCCTGGCCAGGCGGCTGGGGGGGGGGGCGCCGCGGGTCATAATTCAAGAGCATGGCCTCAAGAGGGGTCTTTTGGTCGGAGGCCCTCTGAATAGGCATGCCGGCGCAAATCTCAAATAGCAACCGGATTATGCCAGGTGACGCCGACAAGTTGAGTTGGTGTAAAGGGCTACTTCCATCGCTAGCGGGGATGTTGGGATCGAGACCCAGGCGAAGGAGCTCCCTAATGACTTGTTCGCTTCCCCACTGAACTGCTGTGTAAAGTAGCAGGTCAGGAGGCTGCAGGCAAGCGGGATCGTCTTTTGAAATGGAGCAGAGGAACAGGATACTGTTAATGGCGGAGAGGGTGCTCGGTGCGCGATCGGCGGAGAAGACGGCTTCTACTAGAGGTGTATGCCCCTTGTGGTTTACTACCCTTAGATTTTGGTCGACATTTGGATCTTCCCGAGAGAGCCAGATCAAGCCCTCGGCATCGCTGTTGGCGGCTGCGAAGTGCCAGCAGTTACGCCCGTCAACGTCACACTGCATGGTATTGGCCCCCGTCCGAACGAGAAGAGAGAAAGGCTCCGGCTCCTCGCACAGCATCAGAGCTGTCCTGTTTCTCTTATCCGTCCTCCCAATATCAGCTCCGGACTGTACTATTAGCTCTAGTATTTCGATGTCATCTGCAGTACTGTTTTCTGCAGCCATATGCAGAATAGTGCCACCGTAGGAACTATCGTCGGAACTGTCTTCCTCATAGGACAAGTTTGGATCCCACCTGGGGTCCTCAATCAAAAAGCGTATAGCCAGAGTATTTGCTTCTCGGATGGAGACCCGGACTTCTTCAGCGAACCGTGAGTCGGGAATGCCGGCTCGGCGCTGCTCCGAGTCGACCGATGTGAACGGAAGGTCAAGGTCCAAAGCTAACCGCATTGCACCCTCGAAGAGGTCGGTGAATGGTGACTCTTCATCGGTAGCAGGGAAGAATCGGACTACTATCTGGGAGAGCATCTCGGCGAGGAAGTCGCGCGCCTTGCCAGGGGCACAGGGCTCATATCGAGATGAGGCGACCGCCCAGAAGGGGCCTGGTTGAAGCAAGTCCTTCAGCTGATCGCTGGGTCGAGTGCAAATATTGACCACCTCAAAGAACAAGTCGGCCCGTCGTAGGCGAAGAGACACGAGGAGAGCCAGGTAGTCAAGGGGAGTCGGCTGGGGAGCGTCGTCCACGAACCGGTTGTCCGGAGAGCTCAAGGCCACCCTCTGTATAACACGTACCGTGTCTACCTGATCGATACTATGAGGCGGTTCGTTGATACGTTCCCAAGTGGTGAGAGCTGAGGACTTTAGTAAAGCTGACGGGCCTAACAGGGCGCTATGGAGCACGATGGACCATGGCACGGTAGACAGGTACTCCGTCTGTCTAGACGTAAACTCTCTGCATAGCTCGGAGAATCCGAAGGCAGCACCAACAAATAGAGGGGCGAGCGATGGTGTCTGAAAAAGGTGGGGAGATAACGCGTCCAAGGGCTGGCCGCTACTGCGAGGGTTAAAGTAGGACGGCCAGGTCTGCCTGGAGAATTCGAGCACCCATTGAATGAAGTTTGCCCTGACAGGCCGTCCTGGCGGAATGTTGAACAGGGAAAGTACCGGCTCCCTCACAGCTTCCCACTCCGAGTTAACCAAGGGCGAGATCCAGGCGACGGCGGCGCGGGGGTAGGAGGGGTTGGTTTTGTTCCTCGCCAGCTCCTTCGAAATCTCGTCGAAAGATGTAGAGGGATATCTATTCTCGACGGGATGGTTCAGGTGGCCGAGGTGGACCTTCGTAGATGAGAGAGAAGGAGAAGATTCAACGAGGTGGGTAGAAGGCGTAGTCGGAGACGTCTCCCCGGATGACTGAGGCGAATAGGACGTGAAGGATGGTGACCCATTAGAGGGGGGTACTTCCACAACGGATTCGTGCTGGGAAACGGCGCAGTGAAGACTGTACACATCTAGACACATGTAGCCAGTTCGCAGCCGGCCTTTGACTCGGGCGAGATTGAGAAGAAACACCTTGGTTGATTCGGGGGTGAGAGGCACGGCCTCGAGAGGCTGTCCGCCGCCGTTAATAGTGGTAGGCCTTGAAGTTGAATCGTCATCGTCACTGCGATCCTGGGAGATGGCCTCCAGGCCGAGAGCTATGCGAGCGCCGTCTCGCACCTTGCGAAGGATACTCGCGCAGGTGCGCAGGTAATAGTAGTCCGAGATCCAGTGCTGAGTGAGATGAGGCCGGGTGTGAGACAATTGGGTGAGGTTGTTGAAGACAACCTCCAGTGAGTGAGATATCCCGCATATCTCCAGAATGCTGGCGATGAGCCTCGGGAGGATATTCCGAAGTCCGACTTGGTCATCCGATAGCTCGAGGCGGCGGATCAAGGCGGTGCACTCGCGCGTAGCTAAGGACGCGGCTTTGGTGACCAGTCTGATGTGTTCGGAGAGGGATTTGCCCATGATCCCCAGCGCAGGGCGGATGGGAGGGTGAGCGGAAGGTGCGAGGGGTGAAGGAGGCGTAAACTACTTTCATCGACATCGACGGACAGACATATCATGCTGTGGTGGGTAGGTGGCGAGATCTTGATGCTGGCGGGGAAACGGCGGGGCGAGTAGTCTGCTGAGAGAGGATTACGGAGCTGTAGATGGTGCCGCCTTGATGATAATACCCAGCTCATTTGCTTTGACGTGTCTGTTAGAGAAGAAGGAAACACGAAGACAACCTCGCTGGCTGTATTGTGACTGCCTCAACTTTAGACCAGGCTGTGTGGCTGCCCCACCTACGGAGTAGTACCATGACTTGTACGAGATTCACTCGATCCAATAGGCGGGCGGGCGCACTGCACACTGTAATAGTGTACTTGCATTACAGGGTAATTAACAACTTGTTTCCCAGGTACACTGTTTGTATCTCAGGTTCCCTTGTTGCTTCTGCTCAGAGGCGTAAATTGAATCTCGTTTCCTTCACCTTTGTCTACCGTTTATTCAACTCCGTCAAGAAAACGCCAGATATCCCATCCCGGTCGTGTTACCTTCCCTAGGCGGGCAACCTCGTTCCAGGGGGTGGCTGTGGCGACTTGTACACCAGCGGCCAAACACAAGTATAAGGTAATAATAGGTAGCGAACTCGAACGCGTCGTCCCAACCGGGCAGTTATATGAGTACCCGAGTCTTACACGTCCACATGCCAGTAAGTACAAGTACGAGACAATCCGTGACCCAGGCGCGACCGACCCATGTACTTGTACTTGAAAAGAAGGGGTGCGTTGCAGCCCTTGCTCATGCCTGGCTTTTCTCCTCACCTTACCTTGTTCACCCTGGTGGAACGTATTATTGCTTGAAGAGCGCGGCGCCTGAACAATATCTGACATAGCCCATCAACATCAACCGCGTATAGCGCAGGTGCCCGCTCTCCTCTCTTGGCGCCGCCATAAGCAATAAAGTTCCTCTCTCGAAGCCTGCTCGTAGTACTACAAGTAAGCTCGGACAACGGCCCTAGAGTAGCCATAGAGGCTGCTTGGCCAGGGCTTCGCCCATCATGTCTCTCTCCCCTCTTTTCAAGCTTTCCCCTCACAGCAAAGCCGTCTCCGGCGACCGCCGGTAGTCCCTCCACTTGTCGCGCTAAGGCTCTGTCTGCCCTTCACCGCCAGCGAGTCCTGCTGCTCTGTTGAGAGACAGCCACGCCGTGGGAACCCACATTCGCGTTCGGATAGCATGTGTAAGTCCGCACCCAGCCAGACTTGCCGATCCAAGTTCCCAACCTCCCCTCACCTCATAGCCTGCTCTCGCCAGGGCAACGTGTCAGTGTGGCGGCGCGCGACGGATGTGCTTGGACAGAGTAAAAGGCAAGAAATGCCGGAGCGGTGTGGTCGTGGGGAGCAGCAGGCTGTGTCTTGTTGTCCTCTTTCGTGGCAAGCCTGTCGGGCACGGAACCGAAAAAAAATCGAGAGCATGAAAATCGTTGAGGGTGAGGTGGGGAAAATAGGAAAGGTAATCAGGGCCTTCGCCTGGCTTTTATAAACATTGCTTTTCTCACTTATTTCAAGCATATGGCGAAATAGCTTACATCCCTCAATGTAGAGGTGGAAGCACGAAAAACGCTCCCCAATAACACACGGTACGTATGCCTAGTCCTGGCCTTATGAGAGGCTCTTCTTGAGGCTCTCACCACCCTTCCGCACTGTGCCGTCGGTCTGCATATGCATAAGCATGGCGTTTTATAAGGCCGGGGGGGGCCTCAAAACTTATTCATCCCACAATCTCGTTTTTGGGCACACACCATCCCGAGGTGTCCAAGGTCGTCAGCCCTGTTTTCAGAGTCAATCTCGAAAGCCCCGCCGGGACCCTGCTGGAGGATCACAATTTTCCAGTCACATGCTGCCACGTTCTTATCGGCGTTTATTGGTCGTGGGGGTCCGTCTGCTGAGCTCGGTAATACAGAAAATCAACGTGTAAGTGATGAGTGACACTGCAAGCAAACCTGGTTCTGGGGCCTAAGAACCATGCTTCCCCGCAAGACCTTGACTCTTCAAAACGGGGCCTAAATAAGCAAAGAAGGAAAGAGGGGGGGAGCGGAGGGGGCCGGCAAGGGGGTGGAGTGTATCCCCCTCCCCCTGGCAATATGATCCGGAATTTGGACATGGCTTCGTCTCTTTCGAACTGCATCTAGCATCGCGGTGGAGGAACACCGACACGTGAATTAATCTATGTATATGCCGCTAAACATGTTTCTCATCATCACCTTCAGCTCCTATGGCCCAGGGGTAAGGCGTTGCACTTGTATCCATAAGCATATGCAAAGATCCGTGGTTCAAATCCGCGTGGGAGCTTTTCTTCTTTTTCTTCTTCCTTTTTGTCAATGCCCAAAGCAGCGAACAGATCTTTGGCATGGATACATTTTGTTTGCTCCTAGATAGAAAGGTGGTGGTAAAACGTGCGTTTTGTGACCACTTTGTACACAGACCAAGAACCTCCAATTTTCTGGGGTAGTACAAATTATAGGACTTGTGATGTCAGACACGTACGTTCACACCTACAAGCCGTTCAAACATGACAGCTGCCGCGTAATACATTGCCGTCTTTTCCAGAAAATCGGCTGCATTAGAGATACAATGACCGCAGAGATGGGAACAGTGAGGAGCAGCGGTGGCTGCAGTCAGGCGATGCAATGAGAGCCACCACAAACCCAGACGCCATCAAGGCCCAGAGATTAGGCCAGACGCAACTATAGTCCGAACACTAAACTCTAATTAATGCATACGACCATAGCTCGTGGAGAACTGAGGGTCCCGTCCGCTCCCCTATACATAAACCACGAAGCGCTAGACTAGTAGTTGGGTCGGTGACGACCAGCGAATCCCTGGTGTTGTATGTTTTCTATTTTTGTTCGGCCTCCTTGCCCTGTTTTCGTCGCGCGAGGGTAGATCCCTTCTGTCCAATACCCCCTTCCCTCCCTACCCGATTAAATCAAGATACATCGCGGAGGGACCTCTGATACGTATACGAAGTCCCGTATAATGAGCGAGGTGATGCTGTTAGAGCCACTCGGGGTTGCTAGATATTATTACCATATTGTGGTATACTATGTCATAAGTTGTTAACCCTTGCTCCCATACATAAGGCGTATGAATGCATTCCTTCCACCGCTTTCCAACCCTGGATATCTTCCAAACATGTCCCATCCCGTCATTCAGAGAAGCCGACAACGCCCTCAAACCCCCGCACAAGGAACCAAGACTAACACGACCCACTCGACCCGACCCTCTCCCCTCAAAGGCGTCCAGAAGCTATTCACCTGCACCATACCTCTCCTCCCCACCTCCGCCCGACTCCCCCCGAGGCTGATCACGCTCCCCTTCCTCGACCTGGGCGCGGCGAACGATAGCTCCGCCGTAACCCTCCGACCCTCCGACAGCCCGTCCCTCACCATGCCCTTGAACGACTTTGTTATGGATGGGCAATGCGCCTGCTCCGCCAGTACCTTGAACACATCCCTATCCAGCACCGCCTCCGTTGTGAGCGCTGGATTTAGCAGCTCTAGCGCGCTGGGGGTCGCATGCGAGACGACGAGCTTGGGCTTGATGCCCTCCTCGTGCCTTAGGAGCAAGAAGCGGCTGTGCGCCGTCTTCACCTCCGGCGGCGTGTGCGATAGGGTGTCGTGCTCAGACAGGGGCGGGAGGGTATTCTCCGTCAGGGTGCTGGATCCACTCAGCGCGCTTTCGGACCTAGTGTGCGCGAGCCCGGAAAGGTCCGCGGCCTTCCGGAACGGCTTGAACATCCTACGCGAGGACCTAGACCGCGCGATATCCCGCTCCCTACTCCTCGCCTGACCCCGTCCCTCGTCGCTCTGGTCGAAGGGCGTGCTCGCTCGTCGGCGGTACGGCGCCAGCTCGGGTGATCCGTCAGATGGGGCGTCCCATCTCGTGGAGCCGCCACCGAGGACCTGCATAGCGTCGGATGGGGTTCTGATCCTATCAGATAGGTTGATGTAAGAATGAAGGTAATATCTCGGCGTCCCCGAAGAGTCGGGCAACGGGCACAGATAGGCCAGATTCCAGTAAAGTTCGCCGTCGCCCCGACGATTTACAACCAATTCGACGCACTCCTCCTTTCTTGAGATCGCCCGCCGAATGCGACGGCTCGTCTCGGGATCGGTCATGTATTCTTGGAGAGACAGGTCGTTTGCCTGAACAATTTTGTCCCGTGTGCAGCCCGTAATGGAAATGAACTCATCCGATGCATATTTGATGTTGTTCTCGCCCAAGTTCACATCTGTCATGCAGAATGCAGAGCCAAGGCCGGGGTACTCGACGTCGGGGAGCCGGACATTCCATCCAAGGGAGGTCGTCGTTGCGGATGCGAGCTGATGCTTCACAAAGGCCGGGTACACGTCTCTGAAGACTCTCTGCTCAACACAGCTAGCGGATTCGAGAAAAAGATTCTCCAGACCCGGCAGTATCCCTCCGATAACGTGTTTGAGGTCGGCGCTCAAAGATCTCGACACCTGGGACGGAAGCTGAACTGGAAACGTCGCAGTGATAGGCGACGTGTAATGGGTTGTTATATTAGATAACACAGCTGACAGCTGCTCGACGGAGGCAGCGTATTCTTGTGTCTAGAACCGAACGTGTCAGTACAAAAGCAGAGGCTCGCGTTATTATTTATCGCACTAACTCACCTTTAGGAGATATTCTACATCATTGCCACTTCCCATTTCCCGCGAAAACTTCAGCAGCTCATGTGCGACCACCGGATCTTGTAACGCCATCTGAAAGGCCTCCGGCCCGAGCAAGTCCGGGACTGGCAACGTCCACTCGGGTTTGTCTTCGGACAGCAAGCTAGTCCGAGTCCCTGCCGGGGACGGATTTGGGCCTTGCGGCTGCCAGTTGACGGGTTTGAAGAGGGGAGACCTGGACGACCCGTCGGGGTTGTAGTCGGTATATTTTCGGAGGGCGTCCTCGTTCATATGCAGGGAGAGTCCCGAGTTGCTGCGGAGGCGCTGTGAAAGCCCCTTCGGCCGACTCCGCGGCACCTTGGGTGTTGGAGGCGGGGAGAGGATGGGCGGTTTTGACCTAAGGGCGTGCGCCCCGGTAGCGGTCTCCGAAGCGAGAGCGGTGGAGCTACGCCGACGGCCAAAGTCATCATAGTGGTAGGGTGGACTGGCAGGGGTACTGATTCCGAGCATCGCGAAGGTGTAAGATCTTTGAAGGACTCGAAAAAAAAACCGGTTGCTCTTGCCTCGACGTATCGAGGCTCGGTGAATAGGGAGGCTAGCTCAACGCCGTATACACCATTCAAGGGCTATAAAGGGAGGTCCCTGAAGGGAGTTCATGGATCGGGGCTGAGGAGTACAAGTATGAACCGACGAAGGGAAAGCTAATTTTTAATCACCACCGGCGGCCAGGACCGAGATGACTTCATCCAGGGGCAAAACGGCGGACACCGAAAGTGAAATCGCAACAAGCCTCGACTAGCGGCCGAACTAGACGGTAGGTGGAAACTCTGACGTAGTTTTCTCGATGTGAAAGTGGCGTCTGGGTGCGTCTTTGTTTCTCTGTACTCTGGTGGCAATGTCAACTTGGTATCTCGCATTGTGGCGCCGCAAGGGGAATAAGACGGGGGGAATAAGGTGATGAAACGGAGGGTACGCATAGATATCCAAAAACCGACCCGCCGGATCTGGTGAGGGGGGAGGGAGGGGGGGAGGTGCTCGCGATCATCTGCAGGTGGTAATGAGCTCGGGGCAGCTCGACCAGGTCCCTGGAGATCCCATTGTGGAATATGACCAGGGTTCCCATGTCACCGGAACCACGGTGCTCGTACAAGTAACGCAAGGGAATACCCGACCAATTGCGGTGAAGCCGTGCTCCAGCCGCTCTCGGGAAGGGCCCATGGGACTAGGAGAAGACCTCAAAGTCGCTTAGCGTACCACGCTCCTCAAATAGTCTGGTTTACTGACCTTCTTGGGGTCGCCACTAGGCCCGCTATGATCGGGGTCGTGGTTTCCACATCGGGGCGCGTCAGGCGGACATCCCGCTTTGTTGAAATTTGGCTTGACGAAATGCTAGTGTCGATCCTCGGGAGAGCCCGGTTACCGGAGTTGGGACGGACGGCGTATTAAGGGGAGATTAAACTGCCTAATATTAGCAAACGAAAAATCGCAGCCATAATACCTGTAATCGCTCGAGTTCTACTCGTGCTCGTACTCATAGTGCGGTACGAGAAAGTTCAGCATAACAATGAATAATCCGACGAAGCCACGAGGAGTATAAGGCCGAAGTTTGATTGATGGCAATTGTGGGGCAAGGGACTCCGTAATGCATATTGCATGGCTGCATCGTGGTTGTCTCCGCAAAGGTTCCAGCTGCAAAGTTGCGACACTTCCCCGCAAGATATCTGTCTCATCGCCTCGTAGTCATTGACTTTGCGGACTGCTACGACACAGCCACGATTGTTCGAGCCATGAAACTCACAATATGGGGCAGTCCCCACAGGTCATGACGACAGGCACAGGTCATCATTGGTGGCAACGAGAAGAAGAAGAAGAAGTAGAAGGAAAGACCCCGGATTGCTTCGCGGGAAGGAAGACTGCAAGCTGCAAGGTACAACAGGGAGGTGCATGGGACTAATACAGGTACGAGTACGACCTAAGTCGGAGTTAGGATACATTGCACCAATGTTAACCCCCCTGTCGCAAATTCGATAGCTTCCTCTGCGGGTGGCTGAATGCGGCCCACTCGAGCCGCTGTCGACTACTTGTACTTGTACTCGTAGCTCCAGAGAAAGCGCTTTCCACTTGGAGGAGGGGAGTGGGACGGACGAGAACCGAGCGTCCACGGAATGCGAAGTCGTCCACAAGCAGTCTAGTCGAGACAGCCTCTCTCAATCCGCGCTTGAACAAGTACTATTACTTACATACAAGTACGGATATACATAACCCATGGCTATATGATCCGCTTTCCCGCACCGGCTGGGATGAAGACTGGAGGAACTCGAAGGTCCCAATGTTCGAGGATTGGTGGGGCGCTGGTGGGGAGCGGAGGTGGGTCAATCATGATGGAGGGCATCGTCATGGGTACATGCTATGGAGGGGTCGGGGCTTATGGATATTCTCCTTGGCCGAGAATCCCTTCGAGTAAACGTCCTTCGATTTGTGCGGTCGGTGTCCAGGTCGGTCGGCCCAAAAGACTTCGAAAAGAAGGTGCGCCCGATGAGAATTTGAGCTCTGAGGCAAGTGGCACCCGACCGTCCGTGAGGTCATGCTGTAGGTTACTCTCGACAGAAATGACGCACGAGACAAGGAAGGTGCTGCCGGGATATACTCCGTTCG